TTCCATGTCAAATGCATTCGAGCTGGGTGGCCATGGCCTCTTGGCTCCAAAATTCATTTAAGGTTTCCATCTCATGGGTTATTACCTTTAAGCAACCTTTTGGAACCTTCAATTCCTTTTCCATGGCACCATTCTCTCCCTTCTCATCCTCCAACTTGATCTAAAACTGTCAAATGAAAATATTAAACTAACAAACTTGGGTTTTTTTAAAAAAAGAGATTTTGGGATGCTTCACAGTATGATGAATTTGCATTTAGTTAGTGTATGATCCTGTGGTTTTACATGGAGGATTCTGCCAGCTTGTCATCTATATTTATTGCATTCTATTTCATTCCGTGCTTCTTGGAAGTCGCCTTTTCCATCCTCATGATCTGATGGCATGGGTTGACTAACAATAACCTGAAAAAGAAAACCCAATTAATCTCTCAGCAATCCAGAAGGGGTATGGTTAAACATAACAGGTATGTTGGTGATCCTAATTTACTAAGGGAGTTAGAATCAAGGTCAATAGAAAGCTAGATTCAGAAAAGAAAAGATTTGTGAAAAGCTAGTTTGTGTGAAAGAGCTTGCATTTTTCTTGTTCCTAGGGTAAACTCAGGGCCTCCCTTAATTTCGTATAAAACAAGGAAGAGAGGGAAAACATATTACCCTTTTTCACTTTTCGCAACTTTCTGGGTTTTTTCGCTTTTCTTCTTGGCGGTTATGCTAAGATCCAATAAACAATTTATATTTTCATTATAGGTTTATTAATTAAGATAGAGGTGAATTGATAAGTTTTCAAGTCTGAGAGAACAGTAGTATTCTTTATCCTATATAATGGCAGACTAATGATTTAGTTTCAGAGAAACAATACTTTATTTTGCATTGTATTTATTCATTAAAGGGGATGAGGGTGTTTGGATGAAGCTCCCATGGTGCAATAAGTTAAATTTTCATTACATTTTTAGGAAAATAATTTAATTCTTAGTTAGGACAAACATAGAAAAAAGTTCAGCTCTATTTCTAAAGACATAATAGAGCATTTAGCTATGTTTATAGACTTTAGTCAAATTGGAGTATGTTTCATAACTCTTCACCTTGAATGTAACTATGTCCTGCCATGTAGAATTTATATATAAACACCTGTTTAAGTTTTAACTGAAATGCTAATGGCAGTAGCTTGGAGAAAAAAGGAGTAAAATGTCGTGTAATTAAGGTCCCGTTTGGCAGTAGTTTTTAACTGTTGCTTCTTTTGGTGATTTTTTTTCTTGTTATCAAATACGAAAAACTAAAAGTACTTTGTTTAATGTCTACTTTTTACATTATATAAATATGGAAACAAATTTTATTTACTTTTTTAAAATTGCTCATATTTTTATGGAAAAAGTTTACACATGATTTCCAAAATTATCACTACACAAACTTATTATTAACTAGTCAGATGTTACTAAAATAAAAAATGAATAACCAAGTTAAAATTTATTTATTAATATCACCATACAAATAAATTAAATTAATTTTTTATTTTTTACATGTAAACATCTTTTTATCATATATAATTATTTAATTACGTATTTGTTGAAATTTAAAATTAATTTAAAG